GGGGTGGCAGAGCATGTAGTGTGTTTTAAAAAGGCTAGCATTACTGTAGCTTGTAATGTCTAGTAGACTGTGCACAGAAAACGCAAGGATTAAATTGGTGGCGCAGCACTGATCTTTTTGACAAAAACATAACTAATGTTCTGTAACTATCTTTTACTTTAGGAGGAATTTAAAGAGATGATTGAAGATGCTGGTTTTTTCAAGGTGAACTATCACAATCTAACATCAGGAGTTGTTGCCGTTCATTCAGGATTCAAATTATGATGCCAAAGTAACAGAATCACTGCTCTAGTAAAATATGCAGATGTATTTGCTGAATAGAATATGTAACTTATTTTTGTATTAAATCTTATTTGCTATAAAACGTTTATACTTTAATAAAATATGCGGTCACATGTTATGACATTTCCAGGAGCTGTATAATGGGAAATAAAAGAAACCGGCTGTGGTCATGGTATGTAAACCAGCTATATGTGCTTAGCTAGCTGTACTTTAGCTGTCACTTTACATGCTTGAATATTTTGTTTACATTTAAGTGACTCTAAACTCAGGAGTTAAATCTTGAAAATGCATTCAAGTACCTTATTGACAATACTGGACCTTATTTGTGCAACACTCAGCTGCAGATCCTCAAATCATCTCTGCTTTCATACCAACACTGTCTTTCCTTCTGGAGGGTGGCTACTTTTGTTCCCCATAGTCCCTGTGTGTGTTGTAAAGTAGCCACCACTCCAATCTCGCTCCCGTGATGGACTACAATCTCATTAGTTTACTAATTTATATTGAAATTGTAATCCATTACGGTTGTGAGCTTGGAGCAGTGACTACTTTACAACGCACACAGCGACCATGGGCAAGTAGCCACCCTCCAGAAGGCAGGACAGTGTCAGCACTAATTCAGAGATGATTTGAGGATCTGCAGCTGAGTGATACACAAGGCCCCGTTTTGTTATTTTTTTTAAGGTACGTGAATGTATTTTTAAGATTTAAGTGCCACTTTAACTATCCAATGCTGTTGAGTGCAGTACTTCTATTCTACCAAAAGTTGAATGATGCCCGGTGTCTCTACCCTAAAAGACTGAGGAAATTACTGTATAGGCAAGGTGTCATGCGTCTATCCCCAATGTGGGTATCACTATGGTGCCCTGCCTGTGTATTTAGGAAGAAACTGGTGCTGAAATCATCCCATAAGCCCTGCCCTCTGCATCTCCAAGAAATGCCCACCGATGAAGAAGTTCAGGAGAGAAAGCAGACCCAGTGCATCACTTCACTAGGAAGAAGACCTAAAAAAAAAGCAAAACATATACACTAGGGGAGCCATCAAGGGGGAGGGTGGTCACTCCAACAAATCAAGCCTTGCAGTCATTTTTTTAGAGGAGGACACCAAATTTGTTTCTTTTCCCTCAGCCAAAAAGCAGCATTGTCATGCTTCTGGATATGTATTTGTTAGATTTAATATCAGGATTTTGGCACTATTGAACTGTTATTCAAGCATCAAATGTTATTTCATCTTTGACTTTGAACAATAGATTATTATTTAGTAACATGAGAACACCCTCCTAAGCTAAA